CAACGTACAATATTCAAATCGCGTGAATAAGAATCGCAACACGCAAATATGAAAAGCTATGCTTGATATTAAAATCGTGTGAATAAGAATCGAGATATTAGCAGATTCCAGGCTTGGGACCTTTAAACGGCTTGTCAGAAGCAGCGTCGTTTGAACTACAAAAATCGGATCTATCTGGAGGACGGGTATAAAATTCGGAAAATCTTATCTGCTGCGAGTAAAAGGGGAGAAAATAGTTAAAATAAGTAAAAATGAGAAAGGATTGGTAGCTATGTAGTTTGAATTTTCTGTTTCTCTTTGAAAATCGGTGTATTTTCTGAAAAAGCGGAATATTTATAATAAAAAAAGTGAAATTTTTAGAAAAATCTGAATTTTTGATAAAAAAGCTGAAATTCAAGCGATAAAAGTGAAAAAAGCGGAAAAATCTCATTCCTGAATAACTTTCTAAAACCAAAATTATCTCAGTAGTATGACTCTGCTTAATTTTTCCACGTGTAAATTATGTCTTTAGATATTCGCCAATTTAAAATTGTGGAACTAAATTTTGTTGATATTTCAATTTTAGAGCTCAAAAAAATATTCTAAAATAAGAACTTCATCTCCAGTGAACTTAGATAAGGTTAATATAATCAATCCTTTAACTGTTTAGTCAATACCTGTTTCACTGCATCAAAAAATGTTTATAGCCATTTAACTTGATGAAACTAATAAACATGTATGAACAATATATTTTATCAGAAATATTTCAATAAATGATACAAAAATAAAATTTATTTAAAATTTGTACACTATTTTAGTTAACAGATATGTAATAACAATACTTGTTTGGCACTTTCTTTAAGCACTTAACTGTTCTTTTCAGGAATTTTCATAGTTACCTGAAAAGTGAATTATGTTTAACAAAAATTCAATTATACGGTAAAAATCTAACAACAAAATATGGCAATAATTTAATTATACGGTAAAAATCTAATATAAAATTCTTCCAGCTATGTACTGTAAAACTGATGTTGGGAAGAAAAATCGAAGAAAAAAAAATTACAAGAAGGTTGTTAATTTAAAACAACAAATTATAACACATTTTGAATTCGTTGCAAGATCGAAAAAATATTCCATATCTGAGCAGTTATCACGTTTCGTAGCAGTTCAAAATCGGAACACTTTTTTTGTAATACTAGTATAAAAAAAATTAAACTACTTTTTTTATTTAATTATTTTCTTCAGAACGAATTTTATTAATATTCGTTAAAATAATTTTATAAATAGAGCAATGGATTTATACTTTTTATAATATTATGAGGCCGTTTGTTCGCAGGTACTTCTCATTCATCATTGTTTCTTCTCTTAAAAATCAATATAAATATTTTGTTCATAAAATATGTAATTATTATAATTTTATGTAAGCACATTTGTTAACATGATAATCGGAACCACAAGAAAGGATACCTAAGCTTGAGTAAGTAATTAACTTGAAAAAATATTTAAACTTGCAAGTATAATATGTGAGTCACTAAAAGAAGTAATAAATTAACTTGTTAACAATATATAATGATAACATTCTATCATATAAATTTTTTTTTTTAAAATCTTTCTTGAGTTTTTTATATTTTTAAAAATTTCGAAATGGTAATTTTTATATTTATTAATATTTTTTTGTTACTTGTGACATCAAGTTAAGTGCACTCTCATAAAATGAAGATCTCCTGAAGAAAAATAAAATTTTCTAGATAGGACTAATTTAAAGCAAAAAGGTGTGTGAAGAGTTTAAGAAAAAAACTTCAATAACTTTAACTAGCGTTAAATTCAAAAATGCAAATGACTCTTTCAACATATCAAATTCCAATTCTGTATTTGCATTTCTGCGGACTTCACAGTGGCTCACAAGATATTTTTACTACTAGTTTAACAGCTCATTAAAATTTATTGTATTGTACCTCTTGAACATTTTTTACATACTTTCGTAATTTCAAGTTTAAATTATTCTGCAACAAAACAAAATTTTACCTTTATTTGAACACCTAAAACAATGGCCACATTTACTATTTTTAAATATAGAGAGACATGCATTAAAATATAGCCAGTATCAATTTTTAATATTCCCTTATATAAAATATTTAAATTTGTAATTGTTGTTGATTTGTAATTTTTTTCAAGTCAACTTAAATCAAATAACTTAATTGGTGCTTCAATTATTTCAAAAAAAAAAAAAAAANAAAAAAAAAAAAAAAAAAAAAAAAAAAAAAAAAAAAAAAAAAAAAAATTGTCACTTCACATTTTAGCAAAAAAATAACTTAGTGGTTGATCCCTCAATTTAAAACTTTTGTTAAGCGGAATCTATCATTTTTAAAAATCATATGAAAGAGAGGAATCAATAATTGTGACTTGGGCAAAACTCTTACAAACAAAATTTGTTGTTACATTCGCTGATTATAATAAATAAACGTATGACCCCCCTGAATTCATCACATTATTTGGTAATGTATAATTTTTATTGAATTTCATTTTCATAAAATAACTGAAATCCAAAAAATGCAAATTAATAAATCCTGTTGGTAAGCCTATGTATAAACCAGGGATGGGCAAACTGTGGCCCGTCGGAAGGTTTTATCTGGCCCGCGGATAGAATTTTAACTTGCCGATCCCTGGCGAATATAAACAATATACATTATACATTCATTTTCTTGTTTACTTTGTTTAAAGCTATTTTTGTTTTTTCTTTTTTAACAAAGTACTAATGACTTTTTTACTTTCTCTATTTTTGTTCTACAAAACATAAATTGATGGAAATAGCTAGCACAGACAGCTTCAATTGGTAAAATTCTAAAAGCAGAAGTTCTTTATAGAATAGCCGTAGATTGGCTCCAACTAGCGTTTGTCTTTCTCGAGGAGCAAACTTATGGAATCTAATATAGGTGAATTGTACTTCACATGTGGCACACTGTGCATTTTAAGCTCCAACGAGCAGACAATCTAACAATCATCTGAAGCAGTTGTTTCTAAATATGGCAAAGCTTGAGTTTTACAAATCATTACCAAAAGCTAGTTTCCAAAATCAAATATTTCAGGCCCAGGAAATCAGTGCTATGTTTGCTTAATCTTATATATGTGAATAAGAGTTTTCAACTATGAACCTTAGAAAAAATCAGAAGTAGACTAACAGACAAGCAAGCTTCGTTTCTTAAAATAAGCACATCTCACTTCAAACCTCAATGTAAGGAACTTTTTAAAATGAAATCGCATTTTAATTCATTTCATTATATATTTAAATTAAAACTTGAATATCGTTTTTTTTAGAAGTTTTTACTCGGCCCGCCAAACTTTCTCCCCCGATTTTTTGTCCTCGCCTAAAAAAGTTTGCCCATCCCTGATATAAACCATGCATTAGGGTTCCCATTCAATTTCAGAAAGAAAAAAAAATTCCCTGACTTTTCCAGGTATAACAGGAAAATTTTCGATTTGGGAGCAAAAAAATATTATTGAATGAGGATGAAAGGGTGGAAAAGCTTCACTAAAATGTGAAATTAAAAAAAAAATAATTGTAATGGATGTTAGAATCATTTAAGTCTAATTTCAATAACTGATTACTGTAATTGACAATTCTAAAACTGGATATTTCCCAGGTTTTTGCACAAAAAAAAAAAAAAAAAAAAAAAAAAAAAAAAAAAAAAAAAAAAAAAAAAAAAAAAAAAAAAAAAAAAAAAAAAATGAAGCTTTTCCAGACTATTCCCTGCTTTTTAGAGCAAAAATAAAATTCTCTGACTATTCCTGGTTTTCCCTGAAAGGGAGCTACGATGCGTTTAATTAATGGATAGGCCTAAGTTCAAACAATTGGAATTTTGTGATTTTTACCAGCAATATAAATTAAATGTTGGATCGAAAATTGAATAATATAAATTCAAAATGGAAAAGGTGAACCTTTTTTAAAAACTCCTTTTAGAAAATTGTACAGATTGATTGATTTAATCTAACACAATATCATATGCAAATATTTAAGGGACAGACAAGGGAAAATAAATAAAAAGTTTGCAGAAAATTTTTTTAGAAAAAAAAATGTGTACTTCATAGTCGTTTAGCAACGTGCATAATTTAAATACAATCATCTAAAAATGCCTAAATATTAAAAGTTAAGATGTAAGTTACAATCGAAGTCAGAAGGTGGTGTGTATGCCAATACGACAAGTGCGCCTTCCATGATTATGCGATTAACCGGTTGCCTGCTGCATGCATTTACAGTGAAATCTCCATCAGGCCACAAATACCGCTGTACGAAGTGTATTCTCCTATGTACTCCCACCGATATTTTAATAATGCTAGGTGGTAACAAGAATATCTCTCTCCATTTGTTTTAATGATATCGTGTTTTTGCTGTTTCTCATCTCGCCACTTTACACGATCAGTTTGAATCTCTTTGTCGAGTAAAGAGGACTTAAAATCTTTACCCTAATTCGTTGAAATTTCGAAAAGAAAAATGGAAAACATATTTCTTGGTGAGTTAAATAGTAGTGAACAAGAAAGATTTTACAAGGCTCACAATAATTTTCTTAATAATTTGCTTTTGTATTACTTTTATAACACTCCAATAGTTTTGCTACTTCCTGTGAAATATCTTTTCACATACATATGCAGGGTTGCCACAGAAAAAAAATGAACAAAATAGTTGCTTCTAGTAGCCTAAAGCAAGAAAATAGTCGCCTAAAATTATGAAAATAGTTGCCTAAATAAGAACAAAAAATTTTCAATACTATGACTAAAATTTTATTAAAAGTCTCCCATTGTAATATACCACGATCCATTTAGTCAAGTTGACGGACAATATGATAATTTTCAAATAAATGTTAGTGCTCTAGCACAAAAGTTTCATATAAATTTTTTTTTCTATATTTGCAGAACATTAAATACTTTTAAATGCTAGAATTAATGCAAAAATATAATTTTTTTTGAAAAAATAAATAAATAAAATAAAATACTCTTTTTATTAATTTTCCCTTTCACATAATTTTTCCTTTTATCAATAATTCATTTAGCAAATATATATATATTGAAAAAGCGATTACTAAAATTCGAAATTCATGCATTATAGTGTCGTATTAAAAATTGGGTTCTTTAAAATCATGCAGTTTCGTAGCAATAACTGCTGAAAAGGCGATTGAGGAACAAAATAGATTCACAATGGAATCTGCGCGAATTGAGTACATTACAAAGTGATTACTCAAATTTGCAATTTAATATTTTTTAAATTTTTAGAAGAAAAAAAAAATTATGTTCAGAAGCTACATTGGGCCGCAGGTTGTCAACCCAATTTATGCTAGAAAAAAATTTGCATAAGAGCACAAAAAAGTCTTACAATAGTCTCCTTTTCCTGAAAATAGTTGCTTTTATAGTCTTTTTAGGCAAAAAAAGTAGCCATAGTTGCTTCAGGTCAAAAATAGTTGCATTTTAGTCACCTGTGGCAACCCTGCATATGAATATCCTTCTCAAGTAGTCAAATAAGCTTCACCCCAATACAGGTCTGATCAGAAATTTGGCTGTAACCCGAATATGGTTAACGCGGCAGTCAATGTATTAATCTGCAACAATTACCTGCTATAGTCTAAAATAAATAGAAACTATTTCTTCAAACAAGTAATCCACTGTTTAAAAAAAATAAATAAAAACAAGTGACTTTAAATATAAAGTGAAATACCCATTCTTCGGGAATGTCAAAGGTATAATAAATAATTGGAATGTTTTCAAATGATAGAAAGTAAAGGGAAAATAAACTATGTCTTCAGTCGTGTTCTCCCCCTTATTGCACATACAGGAAATGATTCCAAGAAGCCATTTTTAAATCTTCAAAAAGTAAAAGAATAAATGCAAAAAAAAAAAAAAAAAAAAAAAAAAAAAAAAAAAAAAAAAAAACTAAATTTTTTATTTTTATATTAGGTTCTCCAAATGATGCACATTTACAGGGTTCCCACTCTATGATGAGATTGAAATTCAAGGACTTTCCAGGACTTTTCAAGGACCTCAATAAAATTTTCAAGGACCTTAATCTAAGACCAATTTTAAAAATTATTCTCTTCTATTTTACTAGAAGCAACAATGCTTGTTGTGGCAATAATTAATTTCAAATATAATACCTAAATGCTTTGCCTATATAGAGAGAAGAGAGTATATGTATTATGGACTAAAATTTATATTTTTTTAAAAACAACCCTACTGGTTTTACATATTAATTCACAAAATCATTTTCAGCACAATCTATAACTAATGGTAATGAGGTGTTAATGGTGAAATCCTTTAATCC